AACAGCTTGCAATAGTGCAGTCAGCCAGAGATAGTAAATGCTACGCTACCCACTGAATAAAACCTTCTGTCATTAACAGTTCTTTTATAAAATAGCTCCTAGGCTGATATTGATCGTTGCCCGGCTTCCCTCATAGATTAGGTGGCAGTGGGTGCTTTACCACACGCACCTTCACCAAGGAAGGAAAGGGGAACCTGCACCCTCCCTCCCTCCCTCCCTCCCTCTCTCTCTTTGGGGCCAGAGCAGCGGGCTGTGAGGGGCCTCTTCCACCCGAGAATGACTACAGAGAGCCCTCGGCCAGCAAGACCTGTGGTGGGAGGAGTGGTGCAAAACACAGAGAAGGAAAAGGCTGTCCAATTCGTGCTGTTTGGCATCACTTTCTGTGCCGTGGTTCCGTGCTCTCCAGACCTGGGAGATGTAGATATAAAGAGAGGCTGGCAAGAGGGTAGTCTTATAGGGCTGGTATATCCTAAGCCCTATATTTTAAATTGAAAAATTGGGGGTCGCCTTATACGCCCAGTCGTCTTGTACGCTGGAAAATACGGTAGATGGAACTGTTTTTAGTATTTGTGTATATTGATAGTTATTTTATCTTCCGGCATGGAATGCTTGCCATCTGTTATGCTGTGCTCCGCCCTGAGCTCCCTTCAGGGTGGGAAGGGCGGAATATACATGTTTCCAATAAACAAACAAATAAACAAGATCTTCTGGGGAGGCCCCGCCCTTGATCCCACCTTCTTCGCTGGTGCAACTTTTGGGGACGAGGGACAGGGCCTTCCTTCTCAGTGGTGGCCCCTCGGCTCTGGAACTCCCTCCCTAGTGGCACTACACCAGCCCCCTCCCTCCGAGCCTTCAGAAGGAGAGTGAAAACCTGGCTCTGGGACCAGGCTTTCAGAGAAGCAGTGCAATAATATAATATAATTGGACTATGTGCAATGACTCCGGAACTCCCTCAGACTATGATTTTTGGATGGTGTGATTTCAATATTGAATGTCATTTTAATTTTTTTTAATATGTATTAAT